GGTCTTAAACTTGTGACTTTTGGGATAGGTCACTTGACCAATAAGCAACACTTCAAGTTTAATGGGCATTCTTTTGACTTTTGACCTTGAAGGATTGCTATTGATTACGTGATCTTCCCCAAAAGCCAAAAATTAAAGATCACCCCTTATCATATCATGTTACTGCCATTTTTTCAAATTTTAGGATTGTCATTTAAAAGATATATGTATTTATAAAGTAACTAAAAGATAGTCACAATTAATTTGAGTGGCAAAGATATATTTTTTTGAACTTTAGGATACTGTCCTAAAGCTTGAACTATGAAGTTTGAACTTCAAGATAGCATTCTTAAGTTTGAACTAAAATATTTGCAAAGTTTCTCTAACGACTCAATAGGTCATTTCGAGTATTAGATCCCCTGTTTATGTTCTGAGACTTCTCATATTCCATTTGATGATTTATGACTTTCGTGCATGGTCTGTATCGATTTCTGGAAAACTTATATGATAAAATATAAGGGTCCACCAAACTCTATAGAGAACCATGTTCTCTATCAGTTCCACTAGAACACACGCATACAAGAGTAAATAAATGACAACAAAAATTTTACGTGAAAAATTCCCAGCTCAACGGGATTAAAAACCACGACCTACCTTTGTAGGATTTCATCTTCACTACTGAGCAACTTTTAGAGTACAACCTATGCAACCTAGGAATTAACCTCTTAATCCCTTACTAACTTGTAATACTCTATTACAAGCAACTTTGTAATAACTCTATTACAAAGACTTTAGAACTTGATTAACTCTAGCCAAGACTTAAACACACGCGGGTTTAAGATTTACAAAAGGGGTTCTTACAGAATGCTTCTAAACAAGCTAAGTAGAAAATACAATTAAAGAACTATTATAAAGTTACAACTCAACTAAGGACATACAATGACTCGATGTGAGAACTGGTCCGTAGTTGTTTTGTTCTTTGTTCTTGAAGCACTTGAAACTTGCTTGCTAGATGGTCACGTGAGTAAGCTTGAGTAAAATCTATAAGTGTTCAAGTGGAGTGTTTTACCTTTCTTAATTGTATTAATACATGTGTGACATCACTTACAATGATGTAAGCAAGGTAGGTAAAACGTTTTTCCCAGAAAGTTGACTGTTGCACTGTTCTTGTACTGTATCGTGTGCATGCAACAACTTTCCAGCTGGAAAGTTGACTTCGTACAGTCACCTTGGGAACTGGTAGGGACCTGTTCCCTCAATTGTTCCTTTTACTCTGAAGAGTTGAGCCATATCCCAAGTTGGAACCTTGTGATCTTAAGATCTTGCAAATGTGTAACAAGTTCCTTATCTAGTTCTGGATAGTAAGATTGTTAGATCATCAAAATATAAAACGAAATAATTATGACCAGGGTACTTGTAACCTATCAATTTTTCTTTTTTTGATGATAACAAACTCATAATTGAAAATCTCAGAAAGAGCCACAAAGAACCAAACTGCGAACCAGAAAGACCTTAAGTTTCTGCCTGAATCTCATTCCCCCTTAATCAATGCAATTTATTCTTCCCCCTTTTGGCATCATAAAAAGATCAGTAACAGGCAATTTAGCAAGAAGAAAATCTAGTTTTTAGTTATGTCATACCACTTATGTGCACACAGTCATGATTAAAAACAGAGCATAAAAGCAAGGTATAAACAACAACAAGGGAAAAGCTTGCATTAACATAATTTGGATTTTACAATAAGAGCAGAGTCAATGTTACTGCCACATCCATAAATTATAACAATAAACAAAAAATACCATAAGTTATCATTATAAGAACTGACACTGAGAGGCTGAACCACAAACTAGAGTATAGACTTGACACTGAGGGGACAATATTTAAGAAGCACTGGAAGGAGAAGGTTTGGAGGCACAGGAAATTGTTTGGTGGACTAAATCCATTCAAGCATTTGCTGACATTTGCTTATTGAGCAGTCTCTTTTTCAGGTCCTCCACTTGTTTCTAGAGCTTAGCGTTCTCCTTTGTTAGGCGAGCAACCTCTTCTTTTTGAGAGCGACCGGAACAAGGTTTCTCTTGCAGCTGACTTAACCGAGTCTCTAGTATAGCATTCCTTGCATTCAATTGCCTTATGTCAGTANTGAATAATAGCTCACATAGTCATATAAGTAGAGAAATTGCAAAAATAGAGGAGCATGATAGCAAGTTTACTATGCAAAACTATAGTTAAAACCCCAAATTTCTTTTTCAAATCTCATAATCTACATGTAATAATCCATTCTTTGAGAGCGACTGGTACAAGGTTTCTCTTGCAGCTGACTTAACCGAGTCTCTAGGATAGCATTCCTTGCTTTCAATTGCCTTATGTCAGTAGTAGCATTGTTTTGAGCATTTATTAACTGAGATATGGTAAAAGTGCTTACAACCCCTCCAAATTTCTCTATACACTCACATTCTTCAAGAGTGACTTTTGAAAAAGTTTGCTTCTTGGAGCCCACTTTAAATTGTCCGAGAGGAACCTTGAAGTGCTCAAAGACCTTGGTAAGACTTTAAAGTTTGCCACCTTATTCATGTGCTCTATCATGATCCCAAGCAGATTGATGGTAGTGATATTGTCCAGTGCTTCCCTATGGAACAGGTCTGCACAAGAAGTGATGGATCTTTGCTCAGCTTGAGGCATCAAGACTTTGTTTACCATCTCAAATAGCAGTTGGTATACAGGAAGGAGGGCCTTCTTCTGAACCCGGTCCCCTTACTGAACCGCTATGTCCTTTAAGAATGTGTTGCTCCCTGAACACTAGGCAACCTTTCAGCAGGCACACCAAGAATAGATCCCAATAAGACAGAGTCCATTACCATATCAACTCCATTCACCAAGGCATAAATGTGACCATCCTCAACCTTGAACAAATCGGCATAAAAACTTTGAGCTTCCTCCTCATATACCCTAGCAGCATCACTTGTGAACAAGTGTGTCCATTGTTGGAACTCACAAATCTCAACCAATTGTCTCATACCAGCCTCATCCACGACGTTAGGGGCAAATGTACGTCCCACAACACCTTTTGACTTCTCAATCTCTCTTTCCCAGCACTTCCCAGATCACCAACTCTGGCCTTCTTTGAGGAACCAAGTTCCTCATCAATATCAGCCTTTCTCTTAGCAGTTTTGCGAACACTCTTCTTCTTTTATCAGACTTTACAGATTTTTCACCTAATTATTTCAGCACATTCTTAGTAGCAACAACATCATCAGACTTAGTTAGATTTTTAGCAGACACAGAAGATCCCCCTTTTGTCTTGATAAGACCATGCTTTTGTGATAACTTCCTGGTCAACGTACTAGGTTCCTCCACTTCTTTTTTATCCACATTCACAACAGGCACTATCTTCTCATTTACAACTTTACCATCTTTCATTAATTTTCTTTTCCTTGACTTAGCTTGACTGTTCTTAAGCGCAGACTCATGAGACTCCTTCTTTTGCAACCTTGTTGTGGGTCTCTTAGGAGTTGGCTCTTAATTAACAGCTAATCTACGCCTAGGCAGACTGGCAATTGGCAAATCATATGAATCTGCTTCACTATCCTCCTTTTGTTCTTCAAACACAGGGCTTGTCTCAGGCATTATCACACTTAGCAGCTCAACATCTAAATAAGAAGAGGGAGCAGGGTCAGCACTGACCTGGGGTTCTTTAGAGAGACCCTGAGTTGGATCTTCCGAAGGAGGATTAGGTCCTTCAGCAGGTTCTCCAGTAGCACCTTCATGTGCTGAAGGTTCAACAGGCACAAGCTCATTACCCTCTCCAACAGGCTTAGAATCTTCCCCTTGAGTCTTAAGATCATCCTTACTTCCTCTGACAAAACCCCCTTCATTGGCGATGGACAACATATTCTATATGGCTTCCTTTTTTTGTAAGTCTATGGGAAACTTATGAGAAATAGGAGCGTTACCTGTGGATGAGGGATCAAGAGCAGTCTTTGTTGAGTAGACGATTTTATTCCCCTCAGTTTGGTCTACCTTTGAACTTGAGATTTTCCGATTTTCTTCATTCTCACCAATACTCGTTTCATCCCCCTTTTCTGGCGAGGTAAAAGAAGAGCTCTAGGTAGCACCTCTTTTGGTTTTGTGACTCTTTTGAGAACTAGAACTCGAATGGGTATGAGAGGAAATATAATGTGGAGGTGACTCTGTTCTAGGATTTTTGTTATCAATAGTGTGAGGAGGGGAGTCAGGCGTTGGTGTTTCAACTGGTGAGAACTCGGTTGGGCTATTGCTTGGAACATTAGAAATTATTTGATTTTCAGTCATGGTGAGAAGAAGAGAGAGGATTTGGTGAACTGAAGAGAGAAGTAAGAGGAAACATGTTTTGAAGTGTTGATGTGAAGAGTGTGATGACAGTGATAGATGTATTTATGATGAAAGAGGGACTAGTTAGAAAGGGCAGCAATTTTTAGGGAGTTGGGTCGATTAATAACGGGTGAGACGTTTAGGTTCAAAATACGCAAAACTAAAAACTGACACGTTGATGATGTGGCATATGTTTTAATCATTCAGAATTGTGCATGAGAAAACAGAGAAACTACTAACCTGTGTTAGGAGAACCGGGTTCCCTAACTGATCTCTTATTTGTAAGCTTTGCCCTTTTTACCAAAGTATATAGCCTAAACCACTTATTTGCTCTGTAATCATCACCTTTTAGCTAGGTTTACCTGAACATTTCTTTCATAGCCAATCATTGAGGGACCAGGTTCTCAATTGGGTTTTATCAACCCCAGTGCCAGACGATTTTGCTCGAAGTGTTCTCTCCTCAGAGCTTTGGTAAATATATCTGCAATTTGATCTTTAGTGCTACAGAATTTCATACATATAAGCCCTTTTTTAACATTGTCTCTAATGAAGTGATGACGTACATCAATGTGCTTGGTGATCTTATGTTAAACTAGATTTTTTGCCATATTGAGTGCAGTAGTATTATCACATAAGAGAGGCACACAGTCTGAGAATACTCCAAAGTCTTCCAACTATTGCTTGGTCCACAGAAGTTGAGCACAGCAAGAGGCAGCTGCTATATATTTTGCTTCTGCAGTTGAAAGTTCCACAGAGTTCTGCTTCCTTGTACCCCATGAGATTAAGCAGGAACCTATGAAATGTGCCATTCCAGACGTGCTTTTTCTATCCACCAGATATCCTGCATAATCAGTGTCAACATATCTTATAAGATCAAAGCTGTCACCTGAGGGATAATAGAGGATCGGGTCCTGCGTTCCTTTGAGATATTTTAGTATTCTCTTGGCAGACTTCAGATAAGATTCCTTTGGATTGGATTGAACCTTGCATAGAGACCTACGCTAAAAACAATGTGTGGTCTTCATGCAGTGAGATATAAGAGTGACCCTATGATCCCTCTATACATGGTCTGATTTACAGGGGAACCAGGTTCATCCATGTATAGACGGGTGGCTGTGGCTGTGGCAATGGGAGTGTCGATGACTTTTGATGCTTCCATATTAAACCTTTTAAGCAGCTCCTTGATGTACTTCTGTTGACTTATCAATGTTTCGTTCTAAGATTGCTTCACTTGAAGTCTTAGGAAGAAATTCAGTTCTCCCATCACACTCATCTCGAATTCACTCCCCATGATCAGATGTAGCTCCAAAGATGATATAATCAACATACACATGCATAATGAGCAGGTTCCTCCCTCGTTTCTTCAGAAAAATAGTGTTGTCAATTTTACCTCTTGTAAAGCCATTTTCTAGAAGGAATTTTGACAACCTTTCATACCAAGCCCTAGGAGCCTATTTTAACCCGTACAATGCCTTATCCAGTTTAAACACATGCTCAGTGTGCTCGTGACACTCAAAATCAAAAGGCTGCTTGACATAGACTTTTTCTTTCAGATATCCACTTAGAAATGCACTTTTGACATCCATTTGGAATAGTATGAACTCCATATGAGATGCAAAGTCAATGTGACGACCCGGCCGATCGTCTTAAGAATTAACGCCCCGATCCCCTATTAACTGTTTTCCCTAAGTTTATTTTGCTATTTTGAATTTCCGGGATGTTCAGTTATGAGTTTCGGAGAGTTTTGGGATACTTAGTTCCTAAATGAGAGCTTAAGTGTTGGAAAAGTGACCGTAGTCGTAACAGTGTGGAGACGGCCTCGGAACAAAAATTCGATGGTTCCGTTAGCTCCGTTGGGTGATTTTCGGGTTAGGGGCGTGTTCAGATTGTGTTTTGGAGGTCCCTAGCTAATTTAGGCTTGAAATGCCAAAAGTTAAATTTTGAAAATTTCCGGTTCAATAGTGAGATTTTGATCAGAGGGCCGGAATGGAATTCCGAGAGTTGCATTAGTTCCGTTGTGTCATTTGGGATGTGTGTGCAAAATTTCAGGTTATTCAGACGTGTTTTGGTTGGGTTTTTGATCGAAAGCGAAATTCGGAAGATTCTAGAAACTTAGGCTTGAATCCGATGTGTTTTGGTTGTTTTGATGTTGTTTGAAGTGTTTTGAAGATTTGTACAATTTGAATAAGGTTTTAGGATATGTTGATGCCTTTGGTTGAGGTCCCGGGGACCTCGGGATGAATTCAGATGGTTAACAGAGGAAATTTTGGAGTTGAAGTTGCTGCAACAGTTGGTCTTCTGGTATTTTCACATCTGCGGTTTGGGGACCACAGATGCGGTACCGTAGAAGTAGCTAAAGGGCCGCAGAAGCGGCTTTATGTCAATTCCTCAGGAACCGCAAATGCGGTGAAGGGCTTGCAGAAGCGCAACCGCTCCTACGCTTAGAGGTCCGCAGATGCGGAAGCTGGCATTTTAATGAAAGTCGCAGATGCGACATTGTGTCTGCAGAAGCGGGACCACAGATGCGGTCCCAAGGCCGCAAATGCAGAAATCTTTGGGCAGAACATATTAATAGTTGCCTTCGCGAATTTGAGGGATTCTTTCACCATTTTCATCCGGGTTTGAAGCTTTTGAGAGAGATTTTTGAGGAAAACAAAGGGAAATCACTTGGAGGTAACATCCTTGACTTTATAACTCGTTTTTATGTGATTAAAGACCTAATTAGTGGTGAGAAATCTGTGAAAAATGGGTAATTAGGGCTTGAGTTTACGAGGCCTTTAATTGAGGATTTGAGGGGTCATTTGGACTCCAATTTCAGTGTTCTTGTTATGTATAGACTCGTGAGAGTACGAGGTTTCTTAAAATGTAAATTTTACCCAATTCCGAGACGTGGGCCCAAGGGGAATTTTGGTCATTTTACATAATTTCACGTATTAGCTTAGAATTTAATTGTAGAATCAGTTACTTGAAGTGTTATTTATATTATGTGATTGAATTGAAAGGGCCATTTGGAGTCGAATACTCATGGCAAAGATGTGGTGTTGGGTTGATTTTGAGCCAGTTCGAGGTAAGTGGCTTGGCTATCCTTGTGTGGGGGACCTTCCCCTTAGGATTGTTATATTTGGTAATTGGAATGCCTTATACGTGAGGTGATGAGTGCGTACTTGTGCTAATTGTTGTAAATCCAATTTTCTTTAAGTACTTGCTAGTATGTTTCCTTTCCTGTTTCTATTACTTGCACTATTAAGCCTGTTGTTACCTTAGGAAAGCATGTCTAAGTGAATTAATTGTTTCATTTGATTTAACTCCCTTACTTGAATTCTGTGCAGCATGCTAGGCTAGAATCACTTATTGCCTTAATATAAATTTTGCTATTTCTGTTTATCTTCCTGCTGCTGCTATATATTTATTTTGGGACTACGGATGTAGGATTCCGGTAGCTCCCCTTGTCTGTTTACTTTGGGACTACAGGTTAGATTCCCGGTAGATCCCCCTGCACATTTACTTACTACGGGTTAGATTCCCGGTAGATCCCCCTGCACAGTTATATGGAACTATGGGAATGTACCGGTAGATTCCTCCAGTACTTGGTATTTATATTAGGGACTACGGAACGGGATTCCAGTAGATCCCCGCGCACTATGAGTTGGACTACGGGACGGGATCCCGGGAGATCCTTCCGACATATATATGATGGACTATAGGACGGTATCCCGGGAGATTCACTAGATATGTAAAGATGGGACTACCGGACAGTATCCTGGGAGATCCCTGATTGTTACTATTGGTACTGAGCTGTATTTCCTTTCCATGTTTACCGTGTTCTGTATAATTGTTGTTGTTCTGTATACCCTGTGTTATTTTACCAGCCGTACTTATTTATATTGTTTTGTCGTATATTGTTGACCTTTATATTTATTTAACCTCAGTAGGGCCTTGACCTTCCTCGTCACTACCCAACCGAGGTTAGGCTTGGCACTTACTGAGTACCACTGTTGTGTACTCATGCCCCTTCTGCGTATGTTTTTCATGTGCAGATCCAGGTACCGCTGGTCAGGCCTACTATCCTTGAGGGAGGCGACTGATCTAGAGACTTCGAGGTACATCTGCCTTGTCCGCAGACCGAGAAGTCCCTTTCTATTCCTTTTTTAGTATTTAGCCCTTCTGTACTTTCTGTTCTTATTAGACAAAATTCCGAAGTTAGAGCTATATAGTATTTCCTTTTCTTAGCTTGTGATTCATGGGTTTCCGGGTCTTGGATTTAGATATTGGTTTTGAGATCTATATAAATATGGTGTATGCCGAGTGGCACATTTAACATTGTTATTACCTTATTTTTGTTTTTAAATTATTTTACTTCCGCATGTTTTGGTTATCTTCCGCAAGTTTTGGTTATCTTCCACAAGTTTAGGCTTACCTAGTCGTAGAGACTAGGTGTCATCACGATGGTTCACGGAGGGCGAACTGGGGTCGTGACAGTCAATCAGAATTCTAATGGCTTCCATTCGAGCTACTAGAGCAAATGTTTCATTATAATCAATCCCTTCTTCCTAATTGTAGCCTTGAACTACAAGCCTTGCCTTGTTTCTTGTTGTATTTCCAAACTCGTCAAGTTTGTTCCTGAATACCCACCTAGTTCCTACGATGGTTCATCTGCAGGTCGAGTAATCAAGTGTCATACCTTGTTCCTTTCAAATTAATGTAGCTTGTCTTGCATGTTTGTGATCCAGTCTGCATCTTTCAACACTTCCTTTATATTATGGGCTCTATTTGGGAAAGAAAGGCTGAGAAGGCAAGTAAGTTTCTTGCTTTTGATCTGGTTTAAACTCCTGAGTCAAGAGGAGTGATTATGTTGTCAAGAGGATGTGAACTTTTGAACCTCTAATTTGTTACCTGAATATCATTGGTAGAGGAACCATTTATGTCTGACTGGGGTTCTTGGGTGCTTCTTACTTTACAAAGTGGAGTTCCTGGGACTGCATCAACAACTCTATTTTCAGCTTCAGTTGTTGTAATCAAGGGACCAGGTTCCTCTCCAATAGATGAAGATGTATTTGCATCATCTTCACTGGATTCCTTGACATGGCTCATCATATCTGCTTTTCCATTTTCCATGTCAATTACTTCACCTGGAACAAATAAGGGCTCTCCATCTTGATCCATATGTCTGTCCTTCTCACGGGAGAGGTAAGCTTCATCAAAGATCACATGTATGCTTTCTTCGACACATTGAGTCCTTTTGTTGTATACTTGGTAAGCATTGCTTTGAGATGAGTATCCCAGAAAAATTCCTTCATCACTTTTGGCATCGAACTTTCCAAGAGCTTCATTTCTATTGCTATGAACAAAGCATTTACACCCAAAAGTTATTAGATGTGTCAGCTTGGGCTTCCTTCCATTCAACAATTCATATGGAGTTTTGTTTAGAATGGACCTGATCATGCACCTGTTCACCAGTAGCACACAATACTGACAACTTCTGCCCAGAAATACTTTGCGATCCCATTGTCAATTAGCATTGTTCTTGCCATGACTTCAAGAGTTCTATTCTTCCTCTCCACAACACTATTTAGTTGAGATGTTCTTGGAGCTGAAAAATTGTGAGTGATGCCATTTTCAGTATAGAACTCATCGAATTTGACATTGTCAAACTCCGTCCCATGATCAGACATAATGCATGCTACTTTATTACCCATTTTCACTTGAATCTTCTTGACAAAAGCAACAAACACTTCAAAGGTTTCATCCTTGGTCCTGAGGAACAAAGTCCAAGTGAATCTGGAATAGTCATCAACTATCACAAAGATGTACTTCTTTCCTCCTCTGTTTGGCACCCTCATAGATCCATGTGAATGAAATCAAGTGGCCTTGAGGTGCCGACTTCCTTTTTGGGCTTGAATGAGGATCTGACTTTCTTCCCTTTTACACATGCATCACATACTTTGTGATCCTTGAAGCTTGACTTGGGTAGACCACGAACCAAGTCCTTCCTGACTAATTTTTTCAACAACGTGAAACTTGCATGACCTAGCCTCCTGTGCCATAATTCAGAATCATCATCAACAACACTTAGACATCTTAGATCACCTTTCTTCAGAGACTCAAAATTAGCTACATAAATATTCTTGTATCTTTTTCCCTCTAACACCACCTCACAAG